AGAGGGAGATATCCCTCTGACCGGCAGTGCTGTGAGAGAGCATGGAGCCGGCTTCCCGGCCAGTCAGGAAGCCGGCTTCACTTATTGCTAGGCAGCCTGACTTTCTGACCAATCAGAAGGCCGGACAGCACATCATGACCTGCCGCCAGGCTTCCTGATTGGTCAGGAAGCTAGGCTGCCTCGCATCATAAGCCGGCCGGGATTCAAACCAGGGACCTCTGGTGCTGCAAGGCAGAAGCACTATCCACTATGCCACTCTAATCCTCTTGCCTAAGTCTAAGTCACTTTAAGTTCCCTGCTACTCTGTTCTGCTGCCATTCCGTGTAAGTTATGAGTTGCTCAAGTCCACTGATTTATGGGCTGTTTGGTGATTGGCCCGAGCTGTCACATAGTTCTTAGTACTGAGAAATACTGGCAGGGTTATTCACAAAAGGGTGAAGATTTTGGAGGAAGCCGGAGAAGTGAACAATCTAGGACAACATAGCTGAACTGGGAAGTGAGCTGAATTGGAGAATTGTTCCAAATCAGCTATGTTGTCCTAGATTGTTCCCTTCTCCTGCCTTCTCCCTTCCAAACTCTTCACCCTTTTGTGAATAACCCTGTGGGTATTTTTGTTCTTGCTTCTGGAAGCTGAACAGATCACTGGGAGAGGGAAGGAGAGGTTCCTCCCTGGGGTTAAATTAGACCTTTACCCCCTTTCACTAAAAATATAATTAGCATGCAGCTCTGCGTGCTGATGTGAAATCATCTTACATTCATTTGTCAACTAAACATATGTTTATCTTACATACTATGTTTGCACTTCCTGGTCCTTAGTAGCCCATGTCTAGGAAGTGCATCCTTGGAAGGTTACATCAGCATTGCATTGCTGGGAAATATCATCTGTATAATCTTGTGAGATCTCAGGGAAAGGAATTTTCCTCCCCTGAGATGATGTGCATGGTCGCATGTCCTGGTCACATGTGCCAGAGTTCCAGGAAGTAAAGGGAGATGGATTAATCTGCCCTTTTCCGTCCCTGGGGAGGAAAAGAAAAATAAGGTATTCAAAGAATAAAAAGCCGGTGTTCTATCGAATGCTCCGACTTGTCAAGCTCTCCGATTGGGCATGTCACATCCGGTTATAGAAGCCAATAGCCGCGCAGGCCCAGTGGCAACTGTGGTTGTAGAAAGAATCATGTGGCCGTGTGTCATAATATCACCTTTGACTAGGCTATAGTATACGATGAGGCAATAGCCACTGTGCCTACGCGGCTATCGACTCATCGCCTTCAATAACCTAGGACAAATATAACTGTAGTAGGTTATAGAAGTGGATACACGCGCAGGCTCAGTGGCAATAGCTAGACAAGGTTTTCCTGGGCATGCGCACTAGCACCATCTGCTGTGGACCTCCTACTGGCAGTCAGCAGATGTGACCTCACCAGTTGGGGAGGTCAACAAGTTGGAACTTTCGTACGCCGGGACCTGTAATGTACTGGAATGCACTGGAATGTAAGCAGGCCGACTCCCTGCGTTCCGGTGCGGGAGGGGGTGTGGAGCTGTATTGAAGTCAATGGCATCGCCCACAGTGCGATCGCCCGCACTCGGAACGCAGGCACATCAGTGCCTGCATTCCGGTCCAGTGCGATCTGCAAAAATAGTGCTCGCAGCATTTTTGCGGATCGCACTGGACTGGAACACAGGCACTAATGCAGGCGATCGCACTGTGGGCGAGGGGCCTGCCTGCGCAGCCTACGCCCCCTCCCTCCCCTGAATGCAGGTGTTTTTTCGTTGGTAGATCTCAATGAGCTTGTCATTTGAAAAGTAGATCTCCAGACGAAAAATAGTGGGCGCCCCTGATCTAGAAGTATCTGTGTGTAGGTTGTCATAACTAAACATTTCTAAAGGTGTCTTTGTTGTCATTTCAAAGATAAGGGTAAAGTTCCTCTTTTAAACATTTGAATATGCGATCAGTTCCTGTCCTGGTGTCAAATTCAGAGAGCAAACCTCACCGGCAAGTACACAAATCAGTAAAAGTCTGTTACTGGTTCTAACTATTCCCCACTCTATTCAAAACTAAAAAAAAACAAAAAACTTTGGACTTTAGAGACGCACTAAAAATATTAATATTCCAAATTTCACACTTTCTTTACTACTAAACTTGATTTTCATTTAGAGTTTTGCTTATTCATTGAACTAACAAGCCCTAAAGCGTTTATGGAAAGCGATAAAACATGCAATTTTGCAAGCGTTAATTTGTCCGATCGGTTAGGCCCGGAGTGAACGTGATTAAAGCGATAACGTTTATTGGTTATTTATGTTTTTGGGGGGGGTTTTTTCCTCTTTTTGAATATGTTCCCTTTGTGTGTATCTGTTGCCCAATAAGCGGTACTTAAATAGGATCTTGAGTTATGTTCACATAAAAATGTGCAAATATTTTCCCATTTTTAATTAATTGCAACTGTGGGGAACTTTAGAGCTGAACTGTACTTGTATATACCCATGTAATTATTAATAGCACTGTTGCCTTGTATTCTAATTTATATTGCATTTTAAAATCTTATCTATTCCTTCTCATGCTGTGCTATTGTACAGATGGGAAAGGCAAGTTTACCAAGTAGAAATTGCACAAGTGAGTCAGAGAACTCGGGGGTAACATTGTAGCTGTGCAATGTCTTATTTAGGAACAGTGCAGAAATGCAGTTTTAGCTTCTTTACTTCCCGCTAGTGGGAGGTGCTGAAAGCAGAAGGAAGTGACATCACAAAAGTGACTGTGAGGAGCTACATTGATGCATGCAGCACCATGCCCCTTTTCCTGAGTGTCCTGGTGTACATGGAAGGAGGCAAGAAAAAGACAGACCCGGAGAGACTGAGCGGAGGGGCTGCATGACTGGGGGGAGGAATAGTCCCGGGAGAAAGAGTTAAAAAATAAAATGGGAATAGCTGATCTTACCTGATTGGACGTGGTAGTCGTCGAGAGGCCTTTTTGGGCTGTTGGGCACCCAAAGACCCCTTCTCAGGTCAACCATAGTTTACAGTATTATTTGTGTATATTTGGTTTATTACTTTGGTTATTGTTAAAGTTGTTTGGTTTAATAAAAGGGCTGCTGTGGCCGTTGAAATCCACGTCACGCAGTCTGAGTGTTTATTGGGGTTTTTGAACGAAGAGACGAAAATTGACGAATCCATCAGTCATGTTTGCCCAGGGTCCAATCAATAATAAAGACGGCCCTGCTAATAAATAATATTTCTGCTGGCCCGCAGGGCAGATGTGCTCCTATTCCTCAGCCCAGTTCTTCTCTGGAAGACGGAAGATGCTCCCAGTATACCCCATAGTGGGCCATTGTTTGTCATTTACACTAGATACAGTCGGAGATATGTCACTGATATGGTTCTAGTCATTACTTTGAATTGTTGCAGATTATTACAGAAATCCAGCTACAAACCAAATTGAAAGCTGTTTGTTTCTTAAAGTGAACCTGTACCGTGAAAAGAAAAAAAGAAAACTATAAAGCGAAGCTAAATCCTGACAAGTAGGCACCATAAGGTGCGCACCTTTGTTGTTAGTATAATCTTCTTAAGAGCACCATCATGGCTTTCTGAAATACCCCAACTTCAAGAGCATGCCAACTACAACAGAAAAAAAAAAAGTCTTGGTTTGCATAGAAACTTCTGCAGGCTCCCTTAGCTCTGTCAATAGGATTATTCTAACAATGGTGCGCTCTGTCGCCATATGGTGCCCGCGAAAGAGCACTTGGCCCTAATAGTTTTGTTACTCTGTAGGGCTGTTTTAAAGCTGAACTCCAGACAAACAGCTCAACACACAGATAGATTTAAGAACTGGCCATCCATTTCTGAGATGTACACAGCTCTGCCACACATCACATCCCTGTCTGGCAGGGTAGGAGACCTGATTTTTCTCTGCTGCAGTCACAGGTCTTCTCCAACCGATGACTAAACCAGGGGTGGGCACTCCAGCCCTCCAGCTGTGCTTTAACTACACATCCCTGCAACTGTCAGTCTTCTAATGCCTCATGGTACTTGTAGTTCTTCGACAGCTGAACTCCAGGCAAACAGCTCGACACACAGACACATCTAAGAACTGGCCATCCATTTCTGAGATGTACACAGCTCTGCCAAACATCACAGCCCTGTCTGGTAGGGTAGGAGACCTGATTTTTCTCTGCTGCAGTTGCAGGTCTTGTCCAGCCGATGACTAAACCAAGGGAGGGCATCTCCGGCTCTCCAGCTGTGCTTTAACTACAAATCCCTGCAACTGTCAGTCTTCTAATGCCTCATGGTACTTGTAGTCCTTCAACAGCTGGAGGGCCGGAGTTGTCCACCCCTGGACTAAATAGAGAAAAGAGAAGCAGCAGACTGATCAGCTCGTCTCTCTGTCACTTTGCTCTCCCTTCTTATCAACATGTTCCTTTTTAGCACTTGAGCACTGCAGCACAACCAACTTGCTCCTTGTGCTGTGCACAACCCCCCCCCGGTATAAGCTCCGCTGTACAGGGTTTGCAAGTGGCTGATACCAGGTCTAATTCAAGAGCTTGCACAGGTCTATATAATGATTTATTAACAAAAACAGAGCTGCTATAATCTGTGCCTTTTATATTTGCCTGGAGTTCAGCTTTAGGCAACACAGCGATCAGTCCTAGCTTTTATATATGCTCTGAGGCTTTTTTTAAAAATTGATTTAGCCTGGGGTTCAGCTTTAATAGCGGCATGTAATTAATGATTTGTTGCCCAGATCCTTCTATTCGAGTCTGCACATGTAAAATCCCCCTGTACCACCAACAATACCCGATGGCAGGGCTGCATTTTGTGTTTACACCACCTGAAAGGCTGTCTGATGAGTGTTTTGTTTGGACTGTGGCTGCCAGGTGAATATATGTTGATATGTATACATAAGACACAATATTTCCACGCCCAAATCCATATCTCGTCATTCAGATGTTATAAAGGTGTCCCATTCACAATGTCTAAATGTACATATCCTCTTCTTTTTCTTTTCTCTGCAGCATGAGAAAGGAGTCTTAGAAACTGCTGCTGCTGCTCTAGACTCTCACCAAATTGGTAAGGTAAGTTCATCATCTTCTTTATTTACTTTTCCTGGATGTTATTTCATTAGAGGCTGTTTTAATAAAAGAGCAGCTAAGGCATTTGTCTGCAAGTCCAGTAATGGATGACAATGAACCTGTATGTGTGAGGATGTAGTTTGTCTTGTGTCAACTTCCTGTTAAGCTAGAAGACTATGTTCCCTCTGAGTAACCAGCTGAGAAATGCTTGGACATGATAAAGCTCAAGACTTTAATGTATATCTACAGGGTACAGTTTTTTTCCCTTTTGGATGTAGCAGGATAGGCTCTGTACCCCTGTACCCCTTTACTGCTGTCTATGTCCCAGCTGCGGAGATTCATCTTCTCCATTCAATGTTTTGGTGACCATTCTCAGCTGGACTGAATGTAACAGATATCTAAAATACTGGAATGGGAAAGAGACGGGAGAAAATATAACGGGGACACTTGTTCCAGTGGCATTTGTCTAAGGCAAACTTTTTCAAAGAGGGTTCAGTGGAACTACAGAGTTTCCAGGGAGTTTTTTAGGGGTTCTTGTTTTTTACTTTAAGATAAGTAACCATTTTCTGTGATCGTTATAGCTACTTTATCTGTAAGGGTGGACTGGACATACGTCTAATTGACCACCAATTTAAGGAGAATTCTTCCTACTGACCTCCAATGCAAGGATAATTATTCCTACTGACCACCAATTCAAGGAGCATTCTTCCCACTGATCACCAATTTGAAGGAGAATTCTTCCTACTGACCTCCAATGGAAGGAGCATTCTTCCCACTGATCACCAATGTAAGGAGCATTCTTCCCACTGACCACCAATGTAAGGAACATTCTTCCCACTGATCACCAATGTAAGGAGCATTCTTCCCACTGACCACCAATGTAAGGAACATTCTTCCCACTGGCTACCAATGTAAGGGGCATTCTTCCCAGCGACCTCCAATGCAAGGGGCGTTCTTCCTACTGACCACCAATGTAAGGAGCATTCTTCCCACTGACTATTAATGTAAGGGTCATGTGTTCCATTGACTACCAATGTGAGGAGCATTTTTCCTGCTGACCACCAGTGCAAGGAGAGTTCTTTCTACTAACCGCCAATGTAAGGAGCATTCTTCCCACTGGCCACCAATGTAAGGAGCATTCCTCCCACTGACTACCAATGTGAGGCCCCGTTCCCACTGCGCGATATGCAAATCGCGCGTTTGTCGCGCGATTTGCATATTGCGCGACATCGCGAGATTTGCCGCGCGATGTGGCGTTCAAGCTTGCATTGAGCAAGCTTGAATCGCGGCTAAATCCGCTCCAAAAAGGGTCCTGCTGTAGCGACACACGACCCGCGACAGCAGGACCCTTTGCCCCATTGGATTGCATTGGAGCGCGATATCGCGCGGTAATTTGCTGCGATATCGCGGGAATTACCGCGCGATAAATCGCTCAATGTGAACGGGGTCTAAGAGTCATGCTTTCCATTGACTACCAATGTGCAGAGCATTTCTCCCACTGACTACCAGCATAAGGAATCCTTTTTCCCACTTTTCCCAATATAAGCGAACCATCAGTATAAGCAAGCACTACACTCACCACCAATGTAAGGGGACATTTTACTGTCCACCAGTATAGAAGAGAATATTGTGGTAACATGCGGTAAACCCTTCATTTATTGCAGGTAGAAGCTGCCATAGTTAAACACTGCCTCAGAATTAAAATGTGACCACAAAGCAGTTCATTTTTAAGGCTTCCATAGGCACGATATTTGCGTTGTTCTCAGTGTGGGACTTTAGGCTTCAAGACCATATCAAAATAAAACTATACCCAAGAGCATGCTGATGCCCACTGGCTTAAACTTGGCAGGTTGTGGATTAAGAGAGCCCCTCAAGTACATAGTGTTCCTCATTATTGGTAAAAGGACAAAGGCCTTTTTTTCATTTACATGTTATAATCCACATTTTAGGCCTGGAAATTACCTAAAACCCCCAAACATGATATCTTTTCTGAAAGCCAAGACCCTATACAATAAAATGGTGGCAGTTGCAAATTTCTATGTTGCACGACATTAGAACAACTTGTTATCAAACCCAAAAATGTTAAGTTAAATTTAGTACCCTCTACTACAATATAAAACCATTTGTTTTGTAAAAATATAAAAGATGAGAGTACAACGAGTAAATAGATACCCAACATGCCCAGGTTACAAATTGTGTGCGTCCGTGAAACTGCAACAGTATTCAGTACCCCACAAAGTCCATAGACAAGGCTTTAAAAGCCCCCACAGGTCATCAGTTTAGAGATATGTGTATATATTGGACCTGGAATTATTGCTCTCATTCTGGCGTGTGTAGCAATACCTAGCATGTGTTGTGCAATCAACATTTTTGTCTTCAGGAGCCCAGCAATGACAGCTATGGGACCGGAAGTGATGCAATACGCGTCTCTCCCAGTCCCATAGAACGGGGAGGAGAGCGGTGAACGGACGCTCACCGCACTCCTCCCCAGCTAACCACCGACACCCGAGATGCCGCACCTGGGCCCGTAGGAGAGGCAGCGGAACCAAGGAAACACAACGGTGGTGTTGGCCTGTTTACGGAAATGTAGAAGCGAGCTGCCGCCAGAATCGCTTCTACTCTAAAGCCGGCCTCCAGCTCTACATATCTGAACAGACTCCGTTCAGAATTCATGACGGGATTATCCCGTCATGGGTCGTGAAGGGGTTAATCAGTCTATAAAAGTCGCCATTTAACCTTACATTTTCAACCATTTCAAATTGCAATAGCAGACTGCCTATTGCACCCACCCACCCACCGAGCAGAGGAACGGGCCCAAGAGGGAAAGTTCTCTCTCAGGTCTCTGCTGTGCTCAGTGGGCGGGTACAATAGCCTAACTGCTATTGGCTATTGCACCTCGTTGTTTACATTCTGCTGTCGACCGCTGAATCTAGCGGCCAACTGGCAGCAAGATGTAAGTGATGAATTTTGTGGGCCACTCAATACATTCAGTGGCTAACAAACTTTTTTAGCATGCATCAAGCCACCGGCAAAAAAACATCGAGGGTTGCTTGAATGCCGGATAATAGGTAGTGTGCTGGATTCTCTCTGTCAGATCCCTTCGCTGCCTCTTTATCCGTATCTCACGTAGAAAGTTGCTTTTTCATGTGCAGTTCATTTTTATACATGTCCATGATGTGAACATTTCTGAACGCGATTCAAAGAGAATTGGCCTCCATCCTCTCCTTGTTCCAGCCCCATGTCCCCGCTCTATCAATCCTGGGGGGGCGGGGGGGAAGGGGGTTGTAATCCTTTATTTGCACTTGGCATGTTTTGAATGCATACATTAATATTAATATATTATAAGGAGACAGGTTGTACTTTACTTTGGTTGGAATCTGTTATATAAACATTGCTGGTTACAAGAGGGTGTTACTAGTGGGAGCGGATAATTAACCCTTTAATTACGGGTGTGGAAGCGTCTGAAAGGGAAGAGTGTTCTCTGTAGCAGCCAATCAAAGTTTGGCTTTTTTTTTTTTTTTTGGAAGATGCTTTTTTTTTTCTATAAATGTGTAAATGTTCAAAGTATACATCATCTGGATGATTCACGGAACTCATTCCGAGCTTTATGGCTCCACAAATTGTTGTGTTCAGAAATTCAGAATAACCCCATTTGAATCATCCCATTTGGCTCTATGGATTCACCAGAGTATATTTTGCTTTTTTTTAAGCTGAACTCCGGGATAAGAAAATATTGTCTAAGCCCAAGAATCATGTGTATCCTTCCTTGAATCTTGGTGAGCTTTGTGTATTTCTACTAGATCTGTGCAGTAATCCAGTGTGAGACTTGGAGCTTCCTGTAATAAAGTCCGGTCACTGCTGTCCTCTCTCCTTGTGCACGGTGACTGGTCTTGTCTCTGCTCCCTCCTGTACTAAAGACAGGTCACTACTGCTCTCTCTCCTTGTGCAGGGTGCCTGGTCTTGTCTCCGCCCCCTTCTGTACTAAAGACTGCTCACTGCTGCTCTCTCTCCTTGTGCAGGGTGACTGGTCTTGTCTCCGCCCCTCCTGTAATAAAGACAGGTCACTGCTGCTCTCTCTCTCCTTGTGCATGGTGACTGGTCTTGTCTCTGCCTCCTCCTGTAACAAAGACCGGTCACTGATGTGGAAAGTTCCACAAAAAGATGCACTCCACAAGAATTCTACCATAGTAAAAACTTTAATTGATCCAACAGTACAGAAACACAATGACAATTTCCCCACATTGATCCACCGCCTCACGCGTTTCACCCCTTGTGCATAGTCCTAGAGAGCTCTCTGCACAGGCTATCTACAGCACAGTGATGATGTTGCAGCTATTTTTTACAAGGTGATATCTGAGTTTGCAAAGGCATTTGGTGCACACATAGTGGATTTATATCCTTTCTGGTTATTGAGAAATATAACCAAACATATAACAACCAACTTTGATGAAAGTTTTTGTGCCTGCGTGGAAAGGTCACCCCTGTCCAGTGTTTAATGCTTGGAAAAGTGGATTAATAGCGCTGTAACCCTGAAGTTTTTTTTTGTTTATTATAAGAATGGCAGTAGTGGAGAAATGGAGAATTTGAATGTTGAGAATAAATTAAATACTGACCCAGAAGCTGATGCAGCCACAGTCACCTTGTGATAGGGATGAGCAAATCTAGAACTAAAAGTCATGTTAAAGTCCAAATGTTTTTAAGCTATTTGAAATGCTGATGAAATCACTTACAATGGATGCTGCTTCTTGATGTTTAAAATATTTAGTATCCTGCAGAATCAGCTGGTCCCCTGATATCCTGTTTTAGGGTGACTCCTTTCCCTTGCCGGGTCCTAAGGAGCCACCCTTGTGTGTGCTAGTAAGCTGTGTGTGTGTCCACACCTACACACAGCAAGACAAGGCAAGTCACTCCCCTCCTCCCTTCTCCAAGCTTGTAGATGCTGGAGCCTGCTCTGTCCCTTGTCATCTTGTACTGGACAGGAAGTTCAGAGAATCTGAGCTGAG